GAGAAGATCGAGTTGTTACCCCTTTAGATGGATCACCTATTATTTCACCATCCTTGACATAGTTATATTCCCTTGGGTAAGAGACTTCCCTTTTTTAATGTGGATTCTCTAGAGGATCTTGAGTTTCATCATTTTTCATTTCTTCCTTTGATTATGGTTCTTCAACGTCATGTCTAATGTCGTTTGTGTTATAATACATACATCATCATTCACACAAGAATCCTTCCTCGAAGGGGATTATCATTGAAAACAACATGTATAGACTCTTGTACAACTAAAGTTCTTTTATTAAATACTCGATAAGCTTTAGAATTTAATGAATAACCCAGAAAAATTCCTTCATCACTTTTAGCATCAAATTTGTCAAGATTTTCTTTACCGTTGTTTAAAACAAAATATTTACATCCAAAAGGATGAAAATAACTAATGTTAGGCTTTTTATTTTTGAAAAGTTCATATGGAGTTTACTTCAAAATAGGCCTAATCATTACTCGATTTACAATATAACAAGCGGTATTTGTGGCTTCAGCCCAAAATATTTTGGCAAATTGTTTTCACAAACATGGTTCGAACCATTTCTTCTAAAGTTTGATTTTTCCTCTCAACAACTCCATTTGTTGAGGGGTTCTAGGTGTTGAAAATTTATGTCTAATACCATTAGAATTACAAAACTCAGTAAATCCAAGATTTTCAAATTCAGTTCCACGATCACTCCTAACACTAGTTATAGAGTAACCTTTTTCATTTTGGATTACTTTTGAAAACATGATGAATTTTTCTAATGCTTCATCTTTAGTACTTAAGAATAGAACCCAAGTGTATCTAGAATAGTCATCTACCAAGACAAATGCATATTTTTTTCCACCCAAGCTAGTTGTTCTAGATGACCCAAAAAGATCTAAATGAATCAATTGTAATACTCTACTAGTGGATACGTCAATAATGGATTTAAAGGAAACTCGCTTTTGTTTTCCTTTAGCACAACATCACATATTTTATCATTATCAAATTTTAGTTTAGGCAACCCTTGAACTAAATCTCATTGAATTAACCGTTGCAAAACACTCATACTAACATGTCCTAGTCTCCTATGCCATAACCAACTATCATGCTCATCCTTAGCAACTAGACATAAATTAGTCATATCTATAGAATCTAAATGCACCATGTATATGTTTCCTATTCTATGACCAACAAGTATAATCCGATTAGATGCAATGTCAATGACTTTACAACCATTAGTTTCAAACATGACATTGAATCCCTTATCACAAATTGACTAATACTTAATAGATTATGCTTTAACCCATTCACATATAAAACATTTTGAATTTGTATGGAAGAGGTATTACTTATAGTGCCTATTCCTTCAATGTGACCTTTTGAATTATCACCAAAGTCACTTCTCCTCTATTTTTTGCATTAAGCTCTATGAACCAGGCTCATCCTTAGCAACTAGACATAAATTAGTCATATCTATAGAATCTAAATGCACCATGCATATTTTCCTATTCTATGACCAACAAGCATAATCCGATTAGATGCAATGTCAATGACTTTACAACCATTAGTTTCAAACGTGACATTGAATCCCTTATCACAAAATTGACTAATACTTAATAGATTATGCTTTAACCCATTCACATATAAAACATTTTGAATTTTTATGGAAGAGGTATTACCTTAGTACCTATTCCTTCAATGTGACCTTTTGAATTATCACCAAAAGTCACTTCTCCTCCATTTTTGGCGTTAAGCTCTATGAACCGGTTCTTGTCTCCGGTCATGTTTCTTGAGCATCCACTATCAAGGTACCATGAATTTGAATTTGTTTCCAGTGCCTTGTAGCAATGCTCCTTTTCCTACAAACATAGATTAATTTTTTATTTTTGGTACCCAATTTCTTTTGGGTCCATATTCATTAGTTTCTAAAATTCTAGTCCCCTTAGGTATCCATTTGTGTAGGATATTCTTATGTTTAGTAGTAATGTGTTCTTTAGGAACCCATATACTTCTAACGATTTTTCCATTAGAAGTTCTTCGAGGACCTCTATGATTGTAGTTTTTAAAACTTTTTCTAACAAAGTTGGATTTTGAATTTTCTCCATTTTCAAAACGTTTTGTTCCAACTTTATTAAAGGAAGTTTTAAGATCATCAATTTTATTTTGATGGTTATCATGTACTCTTGAAAGTAAGTTACGCAAATCAGTATTTTTCTTTTCAAATTCATCTAATTTGATTTGCAATTCTTTGATCTTACTTTCAAGATCATTGTTGGTTTTGGACATAAGACTATTTTCATTTTTTCAATTTTGAAATATCATTTTTATATTTTGAAAATAAAGTCTTATAATCCGAAGCCAACCCATTGTAATCCTCTAATAACTCATCATAAAATAAATCATCTAAATCAAATGAGTTAGAGGTTACCTGAGAGTTTTCCCCGGTGGCCATCAAGCACAAGTTTGCCACTTCTTGTTCCTCTTCATCGGAACCTTCTTCATCGCTCCATGTAGCCACATGAGCCTTGTGCTTCTTCTTTGATTGACTCTTTTTCTTCAATAGAGGGCAATCATATTTGATATGCCCCGATTTTTTGTACTCATAGCAAATGATAGGGTCTTTCTCCTTTGGTTCATTTTTGAAGCCTTCATTGCGTTTGAATTTTCTTCCTCGGTTGGGTCTCATCAATTTTCTAAACTGTTTAGCAAATAATGCCATCTCCTCGTTATCGTCATCTTCATCCGAATCACTCTCATCTTTTATGGATTTGAGAGCAATTCCCACATTCTTCTTCTTCTACGTCTCTTTCTTTATCTCGTCTGTCTTTTCGAGGTCTACCACATCTTGAAGCATCATTTCATGAGTGAGGAGAGAACCAATTAGCTCGTCGAGAGTTAAGGATTTTAAATTCTTAGCCTCGATGATCGTCGTCTTCTTTGATTGCCAAGATTTTAGAAGAGAGTAAACTAACTTCCTCACAAGTTTCTCATTTGGAATGATCTCTCCAAATGATTTGAGACCATTGACAATCGTGGAAAATCTATCCGTCATAGCTTTGATATCTTCATCCGGTTTCATCCTGAAATTTTCATAGCTATGAGTTAGAAGACTAATTTTGGATTCTTTTACCTCGTTTGTGCCTTCACGAGTGACTTGTAGTTTATCCCATATTTCCTTGGCGGTTATACAAGATGATACTCTCTCGTATTCATCCGGTCCAAGAGCACAAAAGATAATATGGATAGCTTTGGAGTTGAGCTGGAACATTCTTGTCTCTCCTTTACTCCACAATCTTGGATGAGTTGAAGGTTTGATATATCCGTCTTCTATGATATTTCATGCTCCCATGTCACTTGCTTGAATGAAATACATCATTCTATTCTTCCAATAAGCATAATTAGCTCCATTGAAGAAAGGACGCTTGTTGACGAGCAATGAATCAAGATTGAAGTCGTGGTTTGAAGTAGAGGCCATTGATGACTTGATTATCGATGTAATTGTTCCCGAATCGACTCAAGAGGCGATTAAACCTTCAAATGAGTGAGGCTCTGATACTAATTGTTGAGTTAATCGATCGATGAAATCGGTCAAGAGGGGGTGAATTGGCAATAAAAATTTCGGTGGAAGCTTTTGCAGAAAATTGAAAATATTTGTACAGCGATTTAAAGTGGTTCGACTTTCTCAACCAAAGTCTACGTCTACTACCTTAGCTATCCACACTAAGGATTTTCCACAAATTCACTAATTTATCTTTCTTTTGAGGACAAAGAGTAACCTTACAAATCCCTCAAGAATTGTACCACAAATTCTTGAGAACACTCTCTCCCAAAGAGAACAATACAAATTTTGCAAACTTACAAGAAAATCCTCACAAGATAAGATGTTTGCACAATTCTAGAACAAAAAAAGAATGCTAAAAAATAATACAATTGAGCACGATAAGTGTTCTTGAAAGCAAAAATGAATATTAAATGAAATAGGCTTGAAAATGCTTTAAACTTAAGGTTCCACGTAAATATCTATATGTGCATCAAATTAAAACGAGTGGGATATTTGTTTTCTCCTGCATGGACTGAGCTTCCACGTAAATATCTATCTGTGCATCAAATTATACGAGTTCGTAAATGGAACATGCGTATGCATCAGAGATATAAATCACTGGTCTCCTTTCTGTTATTATTTTGGGTTGAATTGAAGGCAAGAAGAGTATAAGGCTATGACGTCGCCGCAATTGGTCAAACATCAAGCCACCGGGGTGGGACCATCATCTATGCAGTTGATTATTTTTCAACACATCTATGCAGTTGATTATTTTTCAACACATCTATGCAGTAGCCATTAGTTACTAGTGCGTGCTATTTTTTTCTCTCGGTAAATGCATTTAGACTTGTAAAGCTTTATAATCTAATGGTACTGCCGCTGTAGTAAATCATATCAGACAATCAATTTTAATGCCGCTTAATATGGCAAATTACATTGTTAATGGAATTATATACAACTGATCTGATAAAAGCACCCTTCTCCTCGGTTCACCTGTCATCGTATCAGATCGAATTGATTGGGTTGACAGAGATCATGTCAGGTCAAACATTACAACATTTTAATATAATTTAGGTCCTCGAGTATTCGAAGTCGATTTCAAATTCCAATATAAAAATCAAAATTCTCAAACCAGGTTTCCACGACTTCAGGTTCGAGTAATTTTTAACGTCCGATGACTCCAGTTTCATTTTCAAGTTGATTAGGTCTGTACAAAGGGCATTTCACGCTGTCTTCTCCAAACTCTGAACGAGTATGAGTTCAAAAATTTTCATCAGGTTCAAGTCATTTCCAGGTTCGGTCTAAAGTAGATTGGCTTATTTTGAAACACAACTCCCATCTGTAGTTAAACACATCTCTGCACCTAAAACTTAACAGTTCTCCTTGGAAGACCGGAAGATTTGGTTTCAAGTTCCAGGCAACAATTATTTATATTATATGATAACAACGCAACACGTCCACATCAAAAACAACAAAAAACTACGATAGGGGCCATTAGCCTCCACTTGGGTTCAAAATATGTCTTCAGGTTCAAGTTTTATGCAAATCCAACTATCAATTACACCACACCATTAGAGCAAAAAAACCCCATATTACCTTCAATCAAATCAAGTCGACACATTATGCAACAAGCACCAAACTGAAAAGTCTCCAAGATCACCAACCAAACTCAAAGGCTTCCAGGAACCTTCATGTTCTGCCTGTTTGGTATCTGCAAATAGGCAAAAATGCTTCGTTAGTTGGGCTTTATATCAAAATCAATCTGTCATATTGTGTTAGCTTTATTGAGCTAATAAATCCTCGCGTGAAGTTTAAATCATACCTTGCATTGCAGAGCTGTTATTGTTGATCTCAACAAGCTATCTCCAACTATCAGTCTCAACTTCTTGACAAAATCATCCCGAGTTATCTTCTTTGCCTGATGAGGTGTCCAAAAATAAATAATGCAAAAGAATTAGAAACCTTATTTAAAAATATAGGAAACTAACGTTAAAACGTATTATCCAACATACCCTGAATAGCTCGTAATTCTTAGTAACTTCATCCATATCTGTACGAGGAATTTTGTTTGATATAGCAGCAAACAACATGGGGAAAGGCATCCAAGGGGATTTAGGGGTCTTAGAAGTGCTTGAACCCAGGCTAGGATCATTACTTTGGGACCCCCCTGATTCTGAGTTTTTGCGATTAATACTCCCCTAAGAATAAAATAATATCACAGTAAACACAAGTTAACCTAAATATAGTGTTACCAAAACCTAAGTATTCAACCTGCAACTATTATTGATTCAAAGGTTGTTTGGTTTGTCATGATAAAACACAGGTATAAGGACAGCCTCATGATGCAAGGACTGATAAATGACTCAGCTTCAAGAGACTGCTTGCAGACAAACATTATCAGGCACCAGTGTGGGCCCACGAGAGACTAGGATCAAATCTTTTAATTATCCTACATGTCATTAGACCATCATGACGTGAAACTGTATTTGGGGAGGCGGGGCAAAATACAGATAATTTACTCACCAATTCACCAGCAGATGACAACACTGGTAAACGACCCTGAAGTCCATGCCTTGATGCAGTGACGGCTGAAACAGCATGATTAGTCTCACTTCCAATCAAATGCCCTGTGGGAACAACATAACCTCAAGAGCTAAAGAACCCGAAATACTTCAGAAAAGGAAACATATGATAGCCATACAGAATTTGCAGAAGACGCAGCCAACTACTAACTCATTGAACCAGTAGTTGGGAGTGATTTGTGACCTCTGGAATGAAAAAAATAAAAGCCCCACCAACAGGAGATATCAACGCATCATGGAAGAAGCCTTGATTCTTAAATTAACAAACTTAAACTTTTGCCATCCAAGTTTGAAATGGCAATTGAACAGTCAAGGAACCATCAAAATTTAATCACCATGTTCCATGAGTTGTGTAGAGTTCCCAATTTGATGTTAGATGAAATAAAGGAAGAATGAATATAATCATCAAATAAACAGCATTCTAAAGGAGAAATATATCACCTTCAGCATTAGAGAGTTTGAAACTAATAACAAACTCCGGATATATGTGAGTACAGATATTCATGTTCCAGATGATATAGTACTTTGGATGATAAAGATCATCCACTCCACTATCAAGATCCTCATTGCTCGGAAAACATTGTCTAGTTCCGGGGAAAAGAAGCTCCATCTTTCCCATTATTACTCTACATAATACTATGTACTTTATTCCATTTTCGTCAACATCAGAATAGTTTGCACTGCACAGATAAAAGATAAACTTCAATGCATATCACCAGGGTATGGAAAGTGAGGTTGAAAATAATAATATGAAATATAAAGGTAAGAAAATATTCATCTGGATGTGAATCTAAAACAAGTAGAACAGGAAGGAAGCACTCAAGGAAAACACATAACCACTAGACAGTGGGCGTTAGCACCTAAATTGTTTAAGAGATCAAAGATAGAAATTAGCGTTTTCTTGAAAGGAAATTAAAACAATAGAAGACTTGAATATTCAAAACAGTTCACAGCACAACAATATATAAAAAAGAACCCCAACCTGGTATTAGTAAATTCTGCTGCAACAAGATGAACACCGGTGCCATATACTTGTGGAATTGTGGAAAGACCACAATCACCAAGCCCATGCATCTTAATCATAGGCAATGATGCCCTGGAGCAAGCAAGCCAGGCATATCGAACATTTGCATCCCCCCGGTACTTCTCCATAATTTGTACCTGCTTTAGGAAACGCTCTAGTCTATATTTAGATGAAGAACTGGAGCATGGCTTTATATCAATAATATCAACACCACCAGAAGGGCTCATACCCATAAGGAACATCTGCTCAACTGTTGAAGAATCCAACTGTTTGTCCAACTCTATATCTGCAAACTCCTTTTCAGGGACCAAGTTTATCCTTTTCTGTTGATTGTCCTCAACAAATTTGCTGTGCTTTGCATCAACATCCCTGTAGCAATTATCCTCAATTTCTACAGCGCAAGGATTGGATGCAGGTTTCTGAGTAATTTGAACATTTCTAACAAAAGAACTTGACTCACCACTGCATTCCTTCAACTTCGACTGATCAACACCATTAATGTCAATTTCAAGATGTAGCTTGATCTCAGGGGGGGCATATGATCCAGTAAACATGGATTCATTATCATTCTCATGTTCATGTTCACAGCCTTGACATGATTCATCCTCTACATTAAAAGTCTCCGGGAAGAAACAGCCATCTGCCTCATCAATCCAAGCAATGGGTTGTTTCAAGCCAGTTTTCCGATCCAACCGAAACATATGCAAGAAATCTAGCACAAAGGATTGACCATCTTTCTCCAGCTCAATAAATGGCTTCTTTATGTAGAGATCTTTCCTAATCATAGCAAGGAGATCTTGGGGAAAATCAGTCCATTCACCGTTTTCAAAGAACATTATGCGCTTTGGAATGCCAGTTTTCTTAAAATTTGCATAGCACAGCAGCAAAGATCTTTTCGAAGGATGACCACATTTAACAACTTTGCCTTTGTGATCCTCTAATCTCCTCAGCTTTCCATGTTTCTGGGATGGTAAACTAAAGTTGGGCAATTGTGGTAATATCACATGCGAAGCTCCCGGTAAATATGTTGTATGCTGCGCACCCCACTTCCTCTTCCTGCCTTGCAGAAACCCAGGCTTACTATCCAATACCATGGCGTTCCGTGCTTCCATTTCTACCAAGACCAATCCCTATCAACAAGCTTAAAACCGATACTACCAACGAAAAAACAACTATGAAGGTTAATCTTCTACGGAACCAATGAAAACTGTCTCCTGAGTGGTTAGGCAAATCCTGAAGAAAAATAAAAATAAAGGTTAGAAAATTAAATGATAAGGATATCAGCTCACACCAAATAAGAAACTTCAGACCCCCCACACGCAATTCATCAAACATAGTGGCTGGAAGCATATCGAACCAAACTCATTTGAATCACCCTACAGCAAGAGGAACGTACCTAAAACTGATGTTAGTGTTGAAGCTGTACACATCCATGTTGCACACGTTCATCGTATACATGTTCATCGTCATTTTTTTACTCTCCAAACAGTTCATAAAAGGGAGATGCGACTTCCTTATCTAGTCTACAGCATTAAGAAGCACTGGCTCCTATTGCATCAAATAAGAGCACCTAAGAATATTGTGGAAGAGAATTTGATAATTATGGTTTAGCATATATTTAATCTCTTTTTTCATTTCTTTCATTTTGGTGATCTTAAATAAATTATAAACTTTTATTCAGGTCAGAGTTGGTAACAAAATCACTGATTACGTAAGCCTTGTAACAGAAACAGCGTTGCCTTAAAAAATAAGCACTGTCTAGAAAATATGAAGAATTTGTAAATAAAAACGCCGTTGACCTCAAAACGCAAAACTAAAACAAACAAAACTATCTCATAAGTTTTAATCCTAGGCAGAGTCTGGTCAAGAACATTGAGCAGAAACATAACGAAACCAAGAAAACATAATATACATCAAAAACGGATTTCAGAAAATATTTGAATTAACAATCAAAACTATTTTTCTTGGCTCCAAAACATAAAACGATAATTTTAGAAAATATTAGTATCATGCAAATACTACAAGATCGCAAAAAACTAAACTGAAAATTCTAGAGCCTTTTTTCCCCAAAACAAGAGAGTAGAATATCTTTATTGACCCCCAGAAGAGCCAAAATTCACAGAAATCAACCATAAAAAATTAATCGTTCAACAAAATCAATTCAGTAACCTTCAGATCTCAAGATCTGACCCGATCTATAACGAACCGAAGTCAAGAATAAAAATCCAGTAAAAAGAAAAGAAAAACAACCCTGAATTAAAAGAAAATGAAAGATAATACCTGCGAAAGCATATATTTCGTAGTGATTTACGTTTCATAAGAGAGAAATTTTCATTTATTTTATTCTTTTATTTCTCAGTCTCTCTTTTTTTTCTCTGTCCTTCGGAGAAGGGGAGAGCAGCGATGGAAGAAGAGAAAAGGAAACAAACCCTAACTCGGAACGATATACGACGCCGTTATAGAAAACCAGGTCTTTCTCTTATATCGCTCAACGTTGACGGAGTTTTCAGAGTCGGTGGTCTTTGTACCTCTCCGCTCTCTTTGATCTTTTTTCCGTGAATTCCTTTTTCATTTGCCTTCTATCTCCCTTGCTTGGACGAAAAGCAAGGGAGAAACAACTTTTCGAAACGGGAGAAATGATAAAGTCACCAGCTGTCATTCAATGTCTGCCACCGTGTCGGTTTTTGATTGGATCCTAGGTTTGGTTGACTGCGTGGCTTCACCGTGGGGAAAAGAAAACATGTTGATTGGTTCGGATGGATAAGGGTCATTTTCGGTATTTGAAAAAATCATTCAATTTCAAAGGCGGTTGTTGGGAGGGGTTACTTGGGGAATCGGAAAAAGCAATCGGGGTAAAAGTGGAAAAACGAACAGTTGACGACTTGCTTTAATATAATTCTCGAATGTTGAAAATGACAAAAATAATGGAGTGTGGGTCCAATTGGGAAGAAGATAAACTTGGTGAGGTTCGTGGGAATCTTAAAAAATTGAGAAATGAAGACACATTTGTACTCGTTAACATTTGGTTTTCGGCTAAATGCAAAGGCCACAAAGAGCATTAGTACAAATGAGAAGCTTCATTCATCTCATACATACAAATGTGTTCATATATCATCGAGTACCAATTCACTATGGTTGTCGGTCCATATCATTATTTTCTTTTTTTGGGTATAATAACAAAAAGAAAAATAATTAAAACTACAATTTTAAATTCGTATTTAATAGGGAAGAAAGATTAACCGATGTAACTGCTACATTTTATAAGCTAATTAATCAAACAGTTAAGATTAAATGGTTTTAATTAATTAAACTGCTAAAAAGATCGATTAATGGTTACAGTTATGGTTAATGAATTTTAATAAATGGTTAATCGTTAATAAATTATAATTAATTAATTATATTTGTTATAGAATATTATTAAAAATAAAATCAAAATGATTCCTCCTATTTTTTGGTTATCATATTTATCTTATGTAGAATTACATTAAATCAAACATAGATGAAAGAAATACATAATTTTAAATTACAAAATATAAGTACACACAAAAATTTTAAACAGAAAAAAAATGAATATATCTCATAATATATATTTATAAAATAAAATGCATTTATAAATAAAATAAAATTTTACAAATATATATGTTTCTATCATCGTAAATTTTATGAAAATTTTAAGTTGTGTTATATTTGGAAAAACAAATTGTAATAGGTTAACTATAGGTTGCTCTATAACTGAACGGTTAACTGTTTCTTAATGGTTGGGTTACGGTGAATAAAATTTAATAATTGTTATAACGGTTGTAGACACTCATTTTCGTCCGAGACATTAAGTGCTCTTTTTTTATATAGTATATATATATATATATATATATAATTTCAAATGTAGTTTTTGAAAGTATATAGTATATGTTTTTTAAAATACTTTTAAAAATGTATAATATATGATTTTGAAAACATTTCTAAGAAAACGTATAATATATATATTTTAAAAAAAATATTTTTAAAAACGTATAATATATAGTTTTTTGAAAATGTATATTATATAGTTTTGAAAAACAATTTTTGAAAACATATATATTATGGTTTTGAATTTTTTTTTTGAATATATATATATATAATAGTTTTGAAAATAATTTTTGAAATCATATGTAATATTTAGTATTAAAAATGTTTTTGGAAACCTATATAATATATAATTTTTTGAAGACATGTTATTTTTAGTTTTTATTATATATTAATTATGTGTATTCTATTATTATTAATTTTATTTTTATTTCATTTTTTATTTTTTAGGTTCAAGGTCCAAATTAGAGTCTGGTCTAGTAAGGGAGTCAAACCGGGCCATACCAGCCTGACCTAGCACAACATGCATGATAAGGGACCTGATCAGTCCAATCGAATTAGGGTTTTCACACATAGACAAGGGCACCGCAAAGAGAATCATCACCGGACGCGTGAGACCACATGTCGATGCCAAACCGACCATTTCGGCACCAAACAGAAAAGCACGAAGGGGAACACCCCTATTTTCCAGCAACAACATGAATCATGAACAGAAAACAACCTGAAAAATCGAGGATAAGGACTACACCATCCCAGGTTGTTCGGAAACAACCATATTTGGAGGGTTATATAAACCCCATCAAGCCACCGAAAAATGACAGAGAAACCTGAGCAAAATACCACAAACATACCAACAGCAACCGAGAAAAACAACAAAAAACCCAATGAAACAATCGAACAACATAGTAGCAAAACAGTATCATCGGAGCGAGAAATACCAAACATTCAAACAAAAAAACCAAAGGAAAAGAGTGTTCGGGTTCGAAATCAAAAAGGAAAGCTCAAAGCCTTGACTCACTGAGGGACACCGGAGACGTGTAAGGGCTTCATCGGAAAGAACAATCACCGGAAAACGAAACATTTTCCCTCAAAAAGGTAAAAAACCGAAGCTTGTTTCTCAAATCTACGCCGATTGGATGTGTTTTGGGACAATCGGGCTTGGGATTCGTGTTTGCGGGTTGGGAAGGAATGTTTTGGGGATAGCTTAGTTTTTTCGGCCACCGGTGGCTGTGGCCGGAGCGGCGGAGTAACGGCGGATGGCCACCGAGCAATGGTCGACCATCGGGGCTGGTTGAGGAGAACGAGAGAGAGTTTAGAAAACATGGGTTTGGGTTTTTTTTGGGTAAGTGAAAACGAGATGGGGATTAGGGGGAGGAAGCATTTATATATGGGAGACTTGTGTGCAATTACAAGTTTCTTAAATCACTTCCACAATCCTCCCAGTTTTGAAGCATTGTTCAATTCGGTCACCGTTTGTAATTTTGCCTCCTAATTTTAATTTAATTTCAATTTCACCCTTTTTCGTTATTTTTATTCATTTTATTTGGTGCCCAAATTTTGTTTTTTTGCATTATTTTATATTTTTTAAATTATTTATTTTATTATTATTATTTTAATATTTTTTAGGACTTCAATTAAATCACAAATGCTCGTCAAAGGTAAGTAATTTGGATCGAGTTTTAAATTTTAATTTAACTTTTAATTTTCACAATTAAGACAACCGTAAAATTAAATTGGTACCGAAAGGGCAGTACAAGGGTGCTAATCCTTCATTGACTGTAACCGACTCCTGAACCCAACATATTTATGGTAAAATGCAGATCAGGTAAGGTGATAAACTGAGGTGTCCGATCAACCTAATTTAAAAAAAAATGACCGGTTGCGACTCTAGCATGTTTTATTTAAGTCGAAATTCAATTTTGGACTCATCCAAAAGACGGTTATGACAACGATTAACTGACCGTTTAGACTAAATGGTACAGTTCAGACCATCGCAACAAACAACTTTAACGCCACTAACGTTCGCTACTTTACTCATCGATGCAAATGAAAATATTCACCATACATGTTCTCACCTTTTCAATCCCAACACAAGATTGTTTTTATACAAGTACTATCGAACTTAATGTTTGCTTAATAATCATTGTTAACGCGTGATTCTCCTATGTTCGTCCCATCGCAATAAGTCTAATCAATAACATAATATTTATATATAATTGGCTGTCCCTTTTTCCCATATATATGTGATAAGGGGAGGTAAGATAATAGGCTACCCCCAACACCAGATTGAGAACAGCTTCCGTAAGAGACCTCCGAATTATGAAATGCCATCCGTGAGACTCGATCCCACGACCTCAAGGTTAAGAACTTTGTGCTCTACCAACTGAGCTGAATGGTCATTTCAATAACATAATATTCATAGATTTTGAATTTTAGTATTTTATCTTTATCGGTGAGATTATTGATCGAACGCCTCAAAAATGTATTATTCTTCACAAATCATTTATCATCTTTAAATGGAATCGTATTGATGAATGAACTCGCATGATTAACATGCATTTACAACGTAAATATTAAAAACAATAACAACAGTAATCTTGTTAAAGAACAATCAATACAAAAAGTTCTCGTGTATAATTAACGATCGTCATACATTAAAATTCGTTCACGTAGAATCATATTTCATCTATCACAATTTTTATGTAAATTGATATATTTATTGATTCGATTGTTAACAAAATAATAACACATTATATTGAATATGTTTTTTTTAAATACATATTTAATAGAATATAATTTTGTTTTATTTAATATAAATAAATGTTATTTTTATAAATAACTTTTAAATTAAAAAAAAGAATAAATTTATCTTAAAGGTGGATATATTAGGCAATTTGACCCAAAAATACCCTAAAAATTAAATATCCCCGATCAAACACATTTTTTCGAATATTTACCGATCTAACACTTTTTTTTTTTGGAGGATAAAGAAGAAGGTGTGTTTCACCAAAAGCGCTTTAGGTGAGAAAAAGGGAAGATGTATTTCACGGGACATGCCTTTTAGGGGTTTTGTTGACTTGACCCCACGGTGGACATGCCTTTGAAGACGTGTTTCGGGACACACCCTTTTCATTTTTAGGTTTTTGATTTTTTTGTTGGGTTTCTAAATTTAAAAAAAAAATAACAATTATTTTAATACAAATTTAATTTAATCATATCATTTTCCTTAGCGGGTTCGAACAATTATTTCTGCCCGGAGTGCATTGTCAAAAAAATTAAAAGTTATAAAATGATACTGCTTTATTTTAATACATAAATATGGTACTACTTTATTAAGTCCATCACTTATTAAAAGTTATAAATTGGTCATCAGACTATAAAGTGTTATTCTGTTGAGTCCCCGACTATTAAAGTTATAAATGATCACATGTTTATTCATTATATTCCAAACGCGTCATTTTTCGTTGAAAAATGGACGATATTCTAAGTTGAACATTAACATGTTGATTGTGATATGATAAAATCTGATCTCAAAATTTCAAACTACTATCATATCTCCGTGATCATATTAACCTCAAGCTTAAACAACCTTCAACTTTTAATAGCCAATGGACTTAACAAAGTAATATTCTATAGTCGAATGATCATTTTGTAACTTTTAATAGTCAATGAACTTAATAAAATAATACTCTATAATCGAGAGATCGTTTATGTATTTTACACTAAATTTAAAGAATCAATTTTCCATTAAAAATTTGACGGCCGTTTAAACTTGAGGTTAACATGATGATTGAAATATGATAGTTGTTAAAATTTTGGTATCAGATTTTTATCATATCACACCGTATAGACACAACTGCTCAAACCCGATAAGAAAAATGATAAGATTAAATTAAACTTGTATTAAAATAATTGTGTTTTTTAATTTAAAAACCCAACAAAAAAACTCAGAAACCCGAGAATAAAAATACGTATCCCGAAACACGACTTTAAAGGCGCCAGATCAACAATATCCCTAAAAGGCACGTTGCAATTTTTTCACCTAAGAAGCTTTTGGTGAAACTAATCTCTTTCTCTCTCCTCTAAAATGATGTTAAATCGATAAATATTTTAAAAAAGATGTTTGATAGAGAATATTTAATTTCTAAGGTAATTTTTTGGTCAAATTGATGATATATTACAACAACAACAACAAAAACGATCAAAGAAACGTCTATAATAAACAATTATCAATGACGTTTGGCAGCAGCAGCTGGTACGTGCTATATTTAAGCTATATAAATAAAAATAAAGTATAGTGGGTACCTACTTATCTCAAGTACTATCAGACTAATTAATTTTTATTTTACATCTTAATTTGATCATAATCTTTTAAAATCAAAATAAATAAAGACATCATTTTTATTTACAATATTTTAAAATCCTTTTTAACTTAATAATTGTGGATTTTTCTTTGGTGAAATGATTTGGCTGAACTTTTAAATGTGTGGAATAACTTAAATAGGAAAATATTTTTATTTTTATTAGTTGGGTGGGGATGTATGGACAATAATTGTCCGATGTGATGTCAGCAGCTTGTCGCCCAAGTATTCGACCCAAAAAGAAAATAAATATATTCTATTTCTTTATTTGTCAATGATATAACCACTTGGTCCAAATTCTTTATTCTATGCTGCGTGGTATGCACAGGACTTCTTACTTATCGGTTAATACTTGATATTATCCATATATTTTATACACAATCATCTCTTATTTCATACACTGGAAAACAACAGATCTTAACTCATTGAATGCTTTTAATTATAAAAATATTATTAATTTTATATAATATAAATTTGAAAAATTATGTTCGTAAGATATATTATTAATAAATTATTTTTTTAAAACTATTATTTTATAATCACATTATTAAAAAAATATTTTTAAAAAATCATCGTAGACTAAATTTTGAAAACCCAGTGCCCATTTGGACTAATTCGAAGGGGACTTATGGCTTTAGGCCCAAAAGAAACAAAGAATGGAAGAAGAATTTTAGTCATTCCTTCAACTGCTCCGGAAACCTTTAGACCGCGAAAGAAAAAGAAGCGAAACCATGGGCAAAGAAAGTGAGCTTTGGGACGACTCCGCCCTCATCGACGCCTTCGACAACGCCATGTCCAAATACAAGGTTCCCCCCTCTCTTCTTCACCTTTAATTTTATTTGGGTTTAGGGTTTAGGATTTTTGTTTTAATGATATTTGTATTTTTGCTGCAGAAGATGCATGGAAATGAAAACAGCGAGGCCAACATATCTGTCTCTGTTCATCAAAGCGGCGATGAGGCAATCAAGTGAGCCTTTGTTTTTCTTTTCTTGAGGAATTTGCTGAAACTATTTTTAGACTGCGGAATGCCGTAATTTCTCCGGCTGATCGATGTAATGTTAATCTAAAGCTCATCTTTTGGTGATTTTGTTTTCTTGCTTGCTCATGAAGACACAGGGATGCAGGAGAGAACAGCAATGCCAGAGTAATTACTGGAAAAGAAACGGAGAAGGCAAAGGATCTTGAACCGGTTAAAGACAATCATACTGTTAAGTTACAGACTCCGGAACCTTATGGCTATTCCGATTCGCAAGGTGCGCAAGACTATAACCAGTTACTCAGTCAATATTACGAGGTTGAAGAGAAGAGGCAGACTATTCTGCAGCAGCTTCAGCAATATGGTAGTTGGGATTACCGATATTCGGCTGAGGGTTCTAGCACAGGTGCACAATGGGGTAACCCCTGTGTTTCTCAAGAATACTCCATTTCTACAAGTCAAGCTTCACAGTCCACTGTCGTCTGTACGTGCTGCCTATATGTATGTCAATCTTTGGTGACTCCATGCACATCATATCCTTGCTGTTCTTTAGATGGGATATCTGTTGGTAAAACAAGCACCGGTCGAAATGGTTCAACGAGTCATGGAAACTTACCTGAGATCATCAACTCTGACATTGTTAAAACGGCTATGGGTGCTGCAGAAAGAGCAATATCCTCTTTGACGGAAAAAGCTTCTATTAATCCAAGTGTAAATGAAGGTAAGTATGCTTTCCCGAGTGTCCTCAGGCGTCTATTTTATTCTGTCAAGCATATTTTGTAACATGATTTTAGAAATGAAATGTTATGCTCATAAATTTAGCCCAAGTTGATTACCGCACCGTGCCTTAATGTTGTATGATAATGTGAAGTTTTTCTTTAGCAAAATTTTCATGTGCTTTATTCAATTGCTCATAATTTTATATTTGCATTTGAGTGCAGAGAACAAGGAGAAGAAAGATGGTGAAGAGGAAATGAATCATGGTAATTGTGAAACCAATCTCACTGTACTTTTGAATGCCTGGTATTCTGCAGGCTTCTACACAGGAAAGTAAGTAATTCGACAATGCTACTTCTCTCGATTGTCAGAAACATGAATTCATTTTTTTCTTCTAATGATTTTGTTGAATGAGCATCTGCCAAATTATATCTCCAGTCTGAGCCAGTTTTTTTTTTAAATTTGTTTAAATGTTAAAAGTATAATTCACTAAGAATCTGGTGTCCAGTCCGATGTAACATCTTAAAAAATTATTAGCTAGGCCGGTGCATGTTTCCGTTATTTTATTTCATTGGGTAATGTCATTACACTGTCTTCCTCAGTCGTAACAGTAGTTTGTTAACTTCTGCTATTAATGAAAATGTTTGGAAGTGTGCCTTTAAACACATATATCAAATCATATGATAGAGATATGTGTTGAGCTCTCTAATCATGGAAGTTTGATATTGATATGCAGGTACCTTGTGGAGCAGAGTATTGCCAATAAAAAGCAGTGATATGCATCATTTTTATGCAATGTGGAAGTGAGTTGTTAGTCATCCTACACCTTGTATCGGAATCCCTGCGTTTATCGTGAGAAAGGAACGTGAGAATGTATGGACAATATACGAAATCTGGCCGACATGGTTAGATTTCGGATATTCCAACAAATTCAGAAGCTATCCGATTACGATTAGGACTGCATGGTTTAAGGAAACAGTGCTGCTTGTGATCTAGTTACTTTGTAAATTGTATAGAGACTTCGGATTGTACTGCATGTGCTGCTTGTACTCTGGTAGATTTTTTTCAGCACTGTTCAAGCTTCAAAGTACTAGGAAAGCCATCAAAAGTATTAACATCCATTTTTGTTGATTTGGGTTGAACCAGGGACTATAAACGATGATCAAATATAGAGAAGGATTAAATTATTTTACATAAAAAGAATAAGGATTTATTAAATATTTAAAAATTACGAAGGAAACAAGTTCTATTTAATTAATATTTAAATTATAAATCACTTAAAATGCAATTATAAGAAAATTAATATTTAAGAATTGTATATATTTCTAAATAAGAATATAATAAAATCACCTTCCATTAGTAGCTAATAGTATTCAAACCTTAATTCTTCAAATTTACTAGAATTATTACCGAATTCTTGTGGTCGAAGAAAGTAATATATTTACTATCGAAGGTTATGGTATGCAGTAGGATTAGTAGTTCGTTAAATAAAACTAGAAGAATGGATGGTCGAGATTGGATCTTGAGATCCAATCACGGTTGATTGAGTGTATTTATTGACTATGCGAGGTGTGATTCGTTGTTGTCGCTAGTTTGGCAATTGGGGATTTAGGGCAAAAATGGCGAGAGAAAAATCCAGCAAGGACAACGCTCAAGCTCTCTTCCATTCTCTTCGTTCTGCTTACGCTGCCACTCCCGTCAATCTCAAGGTATCTCTCTCCTTCCCTTTTCACTCTCAATTACTTTTTCTAATTACTTTCTTTCTTTTTTGTGTGGTGGTGGTTTTCTAAGTACAGATCATAGATTTATATGTGGGCTTCGCAGTCTTCACCGCTCTGATTCAGGTACTTTCATCCATCTTCAGAAATCGGTCTCCTTTCCTTGATCTTTAGTCACTGAGATACATGGATTTGTTCTTGCAGGGTTTATAATTATTTCCTTTCACATTGTATTTCATCAATCGTGGTAGCAGTCTTCCATGAAATGCACGTAATAAGTAGATAATCAGAATAAGAAATTAGAAATGCGAGTGTTTGTTGAATGAATTAATGAGTTTGATAAATATCATCCTAAACATTTTGAAATTCCATGAAAACCAGCTTTCAATAGAATGTAAAAGATTTGATGACTGTTTCATTGTTGGGGTAAGGTCGTGCATTTTGCAACCCCAGTTTTTGTTTGAGCAGTTCTATCCCAATATATTTAGTTTTTTTTTTCATGATATTTGAATTGGACCGTTCCTGAATATTGGCTTCCATTGAGGATCCACAGGTGGTTTACATGGCTACTGTGGGATCATTTCCTTTCAATTCTTTTCTTTCTGGAGTACTTTCTTGTGTTGGGACTGCTGTCCTTGCTGGTAAGCAAACTTTATGTATCATCACTCTTTGCAAGAAAAAAAGCCCTGTCCAACATCATTTTGGTTTGATTGGATGCAGTTTGTCTTCGTATTCAAGTGAACAAAGAAAACAAAGAATTCAAGGTAAGATTTTTCAAATTCTGTCTTACATTCCAGTAGTTAACGAGGCAGGGGAAGAAAATCAGGTCATCTTAATATCGAACTTCAAATTGTGGAGTTCAATTCAACCCCATGGAATAATTTTTCCTTTGAATTTGTTTTCTATCACCCAAAGGTTGTGTTGTGGGAACAGGGTGTATTCGAGTATGTATATAGGAGTGAACATCTTGTTAAATCCCAGCTTGATAATATGCTCGTATCAATTGCAGGATCTACCACCTGAGAGAGCTTTTGCAGATTTTGTACTTTGCAACTTGGTTCTTCATCTGGTGATCATGAATTTCCTTGGATAAAACCGTATCTCCATGTTTGCTGGGCTGCTGGTTTCTCTGTTTCTGGCGGTGATTCATAATTATAACATGAAATAAAATTCTTAGGTTATCATTATGCTTTTGTGCACGCCTAATCCAGAACTGTAGTAAGATTTCTAATTTTAAGGGAAACAAAAGATTTTTGAGTACCGATTTGCTCATTCTGATTTCTTTCCGTGATAGATTTTCATTTAAGGCAAGTTAGATTTGGTAAGAAAAGGGCTTTTTCCTTTGGCAAGCCTGCCCATAACAGCTATGCATCACTACAAATGGGCAACATATTTTGCACATTTTAGCCATTTGCAACCCATTCTTGAAAGGTAGATATTCGTGCAGAGGAATTCATTGACCAATGATAAAGGGAAATATTGTTCTCCCTAGGATCGGTTAAGAAAAATTCTGAATAAATATTATCATTTCAGATTATTCAAAAAAATATCGTACAAAGAATCAAGGAACAGTCCCAGTGGTGATGGGAATATTTTTCTCCATAGGTGACTTGGTTTCGACTAACTTTATCCATATGCGTGTGTGAATTTAGTTGGATTTGAAATTAAACACTGTTACTACCTTATATATATGAATGATAAATAAAAGAGAGATTCGTGCAGATGCAATGGGGTGATGGATTTGCTTCTTACTAAGGGCTTAATGAAAATATTAACAGCAACAGTTGCGAAGAAACTCTACCAAGCTGCACACTTGTAATATGTATGGGTATTTGTTTGTTTTTTGGACATTTGATATAGTTTATAAGAAGCAGCTCACATGCTGAATATATGTTTGTATTTGATGTTTATTGTTTGTTGTGCAAGAGGAAAAGATATTCATCACTTTCTCGTTTCTTAAAAACCTAACAAACAAAGCACGAGAATGTTTTGTTTCATTCTTTTTATAATATTACATGCACGAGGCTTTTGTATCACCTCACATTGATAAATGCCCAACATTTGCTTATAAATATACTGTTAAGAGTAAAGATGCAGTTTGGATAGTTAGGAATTAGTTAGAAAGTTTGTTAGACAGTTATGTTGTAACTAGTTCTACCGTAAAGCTATATAAATGATGTATTTGGAGTAAATTAAATAATAGAGAGGCATTTCAGTATTTTTACCGTTTTAACATATACTCACACCAATGCAATATAAATATAGATTTGTGGCTTGAGTGCTACAAGTATGTTTTAAAATGTTCCAGTTTCTTGGAAATTAAACCAACCGATTAAAATTTTTGATGTGATACGATGTTTTAAAAAAAATATGAATGGTTATAATATATTATTTCATGTAAACATTATGAAGTAAAGTTGTAATCTTTGAAAGAAAAGCTTATGGTTGTATGGTTTGCTATCTATTCTTATTATTCTTCTAACTAATTATTTCTTCCCCACAACTTCAACTACTAATTGTGTACTCCACCAGCTCCTCTTTCTCTTTGTTTTATTTAATTTTAGTTAAATGATTATTCATTGTTCCTTCTCTTTCTCCGTCTCGTTAGATTTAATAAAAATTTAATTCGTATGATATATTATTAATTTTGGGTAAAATCTTGATTGGTTAAAGAAAAATGTATATTTCTAAAAATTTGTGAAATAGTGTGCATATATAAATCCACGTGATTTGGGTTTCACTTTTGGTTTTGGTTGGTAAAAAAAAAATCAAATCAAAATTCTATGTGTATTTTGTATTTAAGCTCCATGTGATGATTTTTATGTCATTTTCCAGACAAACATAAAACACATGATCCAATAATTAATGATGATGATAATTGGCAATTAAAAGAGAAGGTTGATGCATGTCTCTTTCATGCATGACTTGATTGGATCAAGTTTTACTTCTTTTAATGTGATGATTATGTCTAAGCATTAACTCCCAAAGACTATGTTTATCACTCTTAGTCAGCTATGATTGACCTTATTACCATTTGCCAAAATCGTATCCATCCATATATGTTTATTTTGATAGTACCCATAGGATTATTTTTAGATTTTTTTGGTTGGCGTAACTCTAATTAATCTGGACCGACCTGAGTCGCATACCTAATTTTGGTGGGTGAGTCTCTCAGCGAGAATTTTCTGCATATACAAAGACTCGAACTTGAGACATTGCTTAAGCGATATCAAGTTGCTTACCACTTGAATCAACCCCATTGGTCATTATTTTCAAATTTTAAAACAAACAGAAATACTTGTAGTTATATAAAAAAAATCAAACCCATCTACAAATTTCAAGGTTAGATGCTTTTATTTCTTTAGTGGATAAACTTAAAACATGAAAAAATATATATTTATGAATATATATTTTTATACATTTATTGTTTATTAACATATTCATTTGTTATTAGTAAGCATGTATATTTAGTGCACGTAAACATGTTTGTGAGCGTTAAATAAATATATTTATGAATACCAAACACATGTGGGTTAAATACATATGATTTTAAATAAACAAATATAATTTTAAAATTTTAAATGTACACAAATGGAACATTAAAAAAACAAAATAAACAAATAAACATAAATAAAGGTATATTTTCTATAAATTGATTCATGGGCACTCTTAAAACATAAGGGAATAGATAAAAAAAAATAAAAGATTAAAATATAAATTAGACCATAAACTTGATAAATTTAATCAAATTAACATCTAAATCTTATTCAATCAAATTAACCTTCAAATTTAATTAAAATAACCTTTAAATTTAATCAAATTAAATGATTTTTAATAAAAATACATGAATTTTATGAACAATTTGACCTTAATAAAATTTCAAATGTCATTTTAATGGAATTTGTAAAATCTAAGCCAAAGACCAGTAGTCATTTTATCGTTTAAGCCAAAAATGAAAAATCAAAAAAGAAAAAAAGACAAAAGACAGGAATTTGTCATGTAGTAGAAATGGTGGCAAAGATAGAGATTTGATTATTGAACAAATGAACCCTTCCCTCCTCTGTGCTGTTACTGCCAGTAACTTGCACATATCAGTTTCTTCTTCTTTTCTTTGATCGAATACACATCAGTTTCAAACTCTCTTTTTTTTTCTTCAAGTTTTTCCATATCTGTTTCACACTCTCTCTCTTGAAATCAACAATCGAAAAACTTTCATTGGAAAAGTGTAGTTTTCCATTGTCTTCATTAACAAAGTTGCTTAGCTCTTCACTTGCCAACTCATATACTTTAACTTCACCGAAATCTCTCTCTTCTTCTCCATCTGAAAAACTCTTTCACCTAATCATCCTGCAAAATCTAACCCCCATTAAAAGTTAAAAAACTGAATGATTTTTCACAAATCTAGCTTGGCAAAATCCCATCTTCCCCCACCATAAGTGAAGACATCCTATTGAAGTGCATCTTTTACTTGTACAAGCTTTTCCTTTCATTTTTCTGTCATGCACTCAAGCTTGTTCCTTTTTCAATGATTCTCGGGGTGTGAATGGGGTGCATGTTTTCTCAGTTGGCTGCCAAGTTTGCTTTTTTCCCACCATCTCCACCAACTTATCAGGTTAAGAAGGACGATAACAATGAGAAACTCAAGGTGGTTTCGTCTTCCTCAATGCCTGCTCCCGTTGCCGACGATCCTTCTTTGGATGTGCTTTTGATCGACACCAAACTCGGGAACAAGATTGTTGGTTTTTACTTGAAAAATCCATACGCACGCCTTACCCTGCTCTACTCTCATGGCAATGCTGCTGACCTTGGCCAACTCTATGACCTCTTTGTCCAGCTCAAGATCAACCTCAGAGTCAATCTCATGGGGTATGTATTTCCTTTTTCCAGTTTTTTTCTGGTTCAAAATTATTGATCGAACAAGTTAGGTTAGTCGAATTGGTTCACCCATTTTAGTTCTGGCAGAGAATCGTGGCCAGTTGACTGATGTGTAGGTGAGACATAGAATTGGTCATGATGAAGAGGAGGGTGATAAAGGACGGCCGTTTGCCGATGAGTTTGCAGAGAAGAGAGTGGATCATGAAGAAGATAACAGTGAGATGTTGAAGTGTCCAGCCTCGTTTTAATATCTGTTGGAGTATTTATAGTGACCTTTAGCGTATATTTTCGCTGTAGGGTCATCATGATTAGTCATAAGCTGAATAAGCTAGATAGATATAATCATTAATCAGAGATCTTATGCGCTATAATTGATTAGCAATCTATGTTTAGAAGATATAGGTTAGTCGGAGACTCCGGTGGATGGAAAAATTTACGGAAGCTATCTTCGGTGGTATAACAAAAATAATGCTCACCTGCATTTATACAACTCATTCACATTTTTGCTTGTTGAACTTGGTGGGCTCTCTTTCATCATATTTCACTGTTCAGCTGCTGAATGGTGTTATTTGGCTTATATCTGTAATTGTTCATCACTTTAGTTTCAATTTGTATACAATCAGATCTTGGGGAAATGTTTCTTCATCACTTTAGCTGCTCTTTTACTCCACTATTTACTACCATGTTATCAATTGATCCAGGTATGACTATTCTGGCTATGGTGCATCATCTGGGAAGGTAGCTCATCTTCTTTATAATGCTGCATTGCTCTAATTATAGCTGTTTCGGTCATGCATACGCAGGGATGATCATCAACTATTCGATATAATTATCTTCTCCATTGTCGATTCGACCTGGAGTCTGTATTTTGGCTAATGTTTTTGTGTCATGGTTTCCAGCCAAGTGAATCAAACACTTATGCTGATATAGAGGCGGTGTATCAGTGTCTTCAGACAGAGTATGGAATTAGTCAGGAAGACTTGATTTTATACGGACAGTCAGTCGGAAGTGGACCAACGCTACATTTGGCAGCTAAACTTCCGAGGTTAAGAGGTGTAGTTTTGCATAGCGGCATTCTTTCCGGCCTTCGTGTGCTCTGCCATGTTAAGTTCTCGTTCTGCTTTGACATCTATCAGGTAGTAATCTATCTATGTCAGCATTCTAAGGAAGATATGCCGGCATTATCGATTATAGGATCAGTCTGATAATCGGTATAAAAACCAATAGTTTGTCGGTTGATACCGTTGGGAACATTAATGACCTGTGAACCGAATTTGAGCAGCATCGATGTGTTTGTAGTCTATATATTTGCTGCGATGCTTGGCCTAATTACAATGTTCATAACTGCAGAACATCAAGAGGATTCAGAAGGTGAAGTGTCCTGCCCTTGTAATACATGTAAGTACCTTTCAAATTTCTGTTCTGCGTTAGCTCATGTATCAAATTTGAAAGCCGGTCGAATCGGATCGAACATTGTAATCAGGGTACGGAAGATGATGTTGTCGATTGGCTGCATGGAAATGGACTTTGGAAAATGGCAAGGGAACCGTACGAGCCTCTGTGGATCAAAGGAGGTGGTCACTGCAACTTGGAGCTATACCCTGATTATGTTGGATATATGAACTGCAAAACTACACCGTTAGCACTGACTGAAAATATAAACAGTAATTAAGAAGAACAGATTCGTAAACCGTGTCGTGGTAAGAACCACTGCCTTAGAAACGAATTCGCCTCGATGTGTGTAATCGCTGCAGTAGGCGGACCGTCCCCCGAGGTTAACACGGTCGCTCCGAATTCCGTACACCCGAAACCGGAGTGGACTGCTGGTGGTATTGCACTTCTGATCGGAAAGCACTCAGAGAGAACTCACAGAGAGAACTTTAGAAAACACTTTGGTAAGTGAATTGTGAATGTTTTGGAGTGAGTTGAGAAGCTGAATATAGCTCTCTATTTATAGGCTAGAAATAGGGTTAAAGTCGTCCATAAAATTTCAGGATTAAACCTCTTATTTGTAACAGCTGAAACGACTAGATGAACCTGACTCAGAAATAGTCCAGGTTCATTGTATCATTATTCAGCTGTTATAACTCCCGAAATTATATCATGTAACCCCTGGAATTAAATCAAATAACTCCTGTAACTCCTGATATTAACAGCTTGTCTCCTTTGTACAAAGCTGTAAATCAGTCCAGGTACATCTTAACGTTTCTGATTTAATTTAGGAATAAACTGTTTAATTTCTGATAAAACTGTTATTATTTGAAATTCAAACAGTCCTCAGCAGCCTATAAATATCAGTTGATATCTTTCACATTTTCCATTTGTTTCTTTCAAAGAGAAATTCCTCAAGAATTTTCTCTAAAAAGATAGTATCCGCGCGGACGTGTCGAAGACACGTATTACCACGACCACGACCACGACCACGACCTCGACCTCGACCTCGACCTCGACCACGACCACGACCACGACCACGACCACGACCACGACCACGACCACGACCACGACCACGACCACAAGCCGAGCCGAGCCGTGCCGTGCCGTGCCGAGCCGAGACGAGACGGACGGACGGCGGCGGCGGTGCGCGAGAGCCCCCCTTGTTCTCTATCACTCAACAAGGAAGTGGAATGTCAAGCCTTAAATACCATTCCCAATAGTGTTTCCAACACTATGTGGGATTGAGCATTACCAACATTCCCCCACTAATGCGAAAGAAATCTTCTGAAACTCGAAAACAAGCTTTCCAGAAGAGTAATAGCGAGATTAGTTGCTTAAGCACTAGTGAACATATCTGGAACTAGTACATAGTGATGATGAGCAATCCTTCTCTTAGATAAGTGAAACTAGTCTGGAACTTTCTAAGATCAGGGTAAACTCATAACACACAACTAACCCCTTCATCCACCTGAGTCCTCGATGTGTAAGATATATATATACAAAAGTATATATTTGGCCATCTTACCTCAGGATTCTAGTAAGTGTGCTAGAAAAATAGCCCAACATTTTTCATAGAAGGCGGCTAACCCTTCTCACTTACATAGGTTATTTCATCAAGTTTATCTCAACATAAACCACCCTTTAAAAAGGAATATGAAATAATTAAGAGCTTTTATAATAGCTCAACCTCACAAAGGGTATGGTGACTTTTTTCAAGTTCATTATAAATGAACCACCCAAACTCTGGGCTAAGAAGTCATTAAGAATAAATATTCAACCTCATTTATCGGTAAATTCAATAAGTCCTTCTCACTAGAACCATCCAAATACTTGGATTTGAATTTATTAAGAGTTTAACAAACTCAACCTTTCTGTCGGTAAGTTCATCATTTCCTACCCACTCACTCTGGGTTATGAACTTATTAAGAATAGATATTCAGCCAAAATCGGTAAATTCATCAAGTCTTTCTCACTAAGACCACCCAAAGCCTGGGCTATGAATTTATTAAGAGCAATTAAGCTCATCCTGGGCATGCACATTATTCATCATAGGGATAGGCAGTAGGAATGTGCACTATGAGTCTTTCCATGGTTTCGTTTGACCACATGGAACTTAGATAACTAAGTTGGGTATCCACCATGAATTCCTCAACCAATGGGCTTTAGACCCATCCCCCTCGACGAATCTAGGACCAGCTTCCGACTTAACCCTTTGGTAAGTGGATCTGCTAGGTTCCTTTCCGACTTCACATACTCTAAAGAGAGCACTCCATTCTTTATCAAGTGTCTAACTGATTCATGTCTTATGCGAATGTGTCTTTTCTTACCATTGTAAGCTTGGTTCTTAGCCACACATATCGCAGCTTGTGAATCACACAACAATGAAACTGGAGGAGTCGGTCTTCCCCACAACGGAATATCTGCTAACAATGAATTCATCAAGTCAAATATAAGAAATTTGTACATATAATAATTGTAATCTCAGATCCCACTTGAATTGCACATTCATTTTGATTAAATTATGTCGACTATCAATATTTTTTATATTATATAAATTTATTTATTTTTTTATTATTATATTTAAATATATAAAAAAGTTTGTATATTTAAATTATTTAAATAATGATATTTTAAGATAATTATAGAATATCGTATAGTTTGAGATAAATTTGGGGGGGGGGGGGAAGTACCTCTTGTTCTATGGAGACATCTGTTCATGGGCCTGATGGCCGACTTGGGCCTGTATAATTTTTACCCAATTTCATAAACTTGTTTTAATTGTTTTGTTTCCAAGATAAATGTGGCTTGTATAATTTTTTTTTATTAATCTTAAGTACAAAATAGTATATGTTGAAAGATAACTGCCAATATTTCGACGTTGAACGTTCACTCTCTTGATATTTATGATGCTCGAACCCGAATCTTCTAAGAATAATAAAAATTATTTTATTACGAAAGCCACTTGTGCTTTGAAGTATAATTTTTTAATTTGAAATTGAAGAGAGAAAAGATATTATAAAGTAGGATGAATTTAAAATATTAATAAAAAGAAAAAAATGGAATGAAGAATGATGATGACGTTGTAAAGCAGTGGTTTGGGGATGGATTTGAGTTGAGTTGAGATCACGTGGGAATGAGAGATGATTGATCCCACCGACCTCTTGCCGTTAATTCAGCTTCATTATTTAATGCTAAAAAACAGAAACGACTTGCTTTGGTTTCCGCTCCATCATTCACGCCATCAAACACAGTATGCAAAAAGCTGACGGCCCCTCGTCTCTTCCCAATCTTTCATAGTTTACTGGCTAAACTTATGTTTAATACCTCAACTATCACTTTTATTCCGTTTTAGTCACCCAACTTAACAAAATACGCAGACACAAAATTATGGATGCGCATTTTTCTAACTCATATTATAATTGCAATTATTGTCCGAAATTCTCATGTCATGCTCTATTTTTAGTCAGAATATAGTAATAAGGCAAAGCCACCAAACCGCGAAATATTAATGTTTGTCCATCCCCATTGTAAGCAAGCATTACGAGACTGAACCAACCAAACCACTTCGATAATAAAAAAATTATTATTATTTTTTGAAATTTTAGATTTAAGCATAAAAGATATTTAGGTATGAATGTTCAATATTAAATGGTTTAAAGTTATCTTTAAACATATATTACTTTGCAATTATCTCATATTAATAAAAAAAGGTTTAAATGTCACATTTGTTCTTGTAGTAGACCCAATTTATCATTTTCGCCCCTATCGTATTTTCGCATCAATTTAACGCTCAAAGTTATTTAATTGCATCATTATATACCCTACCCATGAATTAAATCCCTAAAATATAAACCTAAATTAGAGTTTAGGATTTAGGGTTTAGGGTTTAGGGTTTAGGGTTTAGGGTTTAAGTTAGGGGTATAATATAGAATGATGTAATTGAATAACTTCGAGGATTAAATTGATACAAGAATACTATAAGAACAAAAATGATAAATTAAGTCTACTTACTATATGGCCAAAAGTTACACTTTTGTCATAACAAAAAAACATTACGAGACTACTTCCTGGTTTAACTTTTGGCAAATATTTAATCAATTTTATACGTATTTCAAAGTCAAAACACGTAAAAAGACGACTAGTATTTCATTAAAATCTATTATAACAAATTTAGAAGTGCTCACAATCGAGTTTATTACTTTAAAAACCCACAAAAATTAATTTTCTAGAACATTATCCCAAACCATATTTGTTAGAAAAAATACTCTCAAATTGCACACGTAGAATTATCTCGCGTCCTAAAAAAAATGGGTAAAAGCCTTGCGTTATACAAGGCGCGAGATTTGCCCAACGTGGATAGACTTTTCAAAGAATGCAATTTAATATTTCAATTAATGACATCGCATTACGAAGAACACGAAGTTCCCAAGATATTGAAATGGCAGTCAGGGCATACGAGTGAATGAAGTGTGATAGGGTGACTCCCCTCGTAGACTAGATTCAATCATGCATACACACTTGCATACAATCATGCATACACACTTGCAAAAGATCTTGCCCAAGGGAACCGTACTTGATTTCATAACTTGTCTAGCATGTTGAAGTGAACTATTCTAAGGGATAAAGTTTTATCTCATATGATTGTCCTAAATCTGAACTTGCCATGACATATTTATTTTGGTGGCCACTGTCCATTGCTTGAGGACAAGCAATAGCTTAAGTTTGAGGTGTGATAACTTCGTAAAAAGGCTATATTTAGGGTTTTTTCACTTAAGTTATTGGTTGTCTTAGGATCATATAGATGCATTTAGGAGCATATAAATGTATTTGGTGGATGCAATTCTTCCGTGGTATTTTATTTTGAAACTGGTGTTGCTTGTTGGGAAAGGTGTGTCTGGTTGGGGATCTACAGGTTCATGAAGCCAAAGGTTAGCAAGGGAAATTACCGTGGCAATTTGGGTTGATGAAGTATGAGGAAAATGCCACGGAGTCTAAGACGACATTTTTTGGCGTAAAAAAAAGAGCTGAAGATTTTTATAAAAGAGAGAATTGTCCATCCCACACGTAATTCATGCTGCTTGCCACCTAGGAGGGGACCACTACCACCTTTGTACTACCTTTTCACGTGAGAGGATGTTACCTAGGGTGCTAAGGGAATTTTAGATAAAAACCCTA